CTTTCCGTGATCACGCCGACTCGTAATCCAGAGTCTGGGCGCGCATTCGTCGAGATTCGCGCCATTTTCAATTGTTCAATTTGTTTTTAATCCGTTTTCCTTGGAAATTTGTCGATCCATCCCCTCCCCCCCCCCCTCGATCTTCGACGAATACACGCGAGATTCCTGGTTTAAGATACATTGTATATCTTGGTTAATTCTCTGCGTTTTTTTTTCTTGTTTGTTTTTCGTTCTCGCTTCGCTATTTTTTTTTTTTTACTTTTTCCACCGGCTCTCTATTATTCACCTTCTACATCCTCCCCGTCTTTCCTCAAATAATTTTCCACAGACGATACGATATATATATATCGCTATTCTACACGTATCGCTTCGTCACGGCACACGCGCGTCCTCTATACAGCCTCACCACCCTTTCATTCTCTCATGGTTACTCGTCATTTAGATTCTCGTTATTCGCATCCACGTCACGCTGATCACTCCGTGTGCTCGAACGCATGTAACAAACTCCCCTAGAACACGTTTCTTTGTGTGGATCGAATCCGAAGAAAAAGAAAATGTTTTCTCTCCGATCGTCTTGAAGGCAACTCTTGAACTTATCGATCATAGGACACACAGTCTAAAGTATTCCCCTTCAAGATTCATCATCTCCTTATTTGCTCGAAAATTACTCCTTAATCTTACGACGTAATACTATCCAATACTTGTTTGAAGCTCATAATAAGTACATATTCGAGGATTAATTTGTTTACCGATTATTGTGTTTAACCTTACGTTCCTACGATCATTTTTTCATTTCTTTCATTTTCTTTTTTTTTTTTTTTATATATATATATTTATATATCTCTTCATTCTCTCTCTCTCTCTCTCTCTCTCTCTCTTTCTCTTTCTTTCGTGCTCGCGTCAAGCAATCGTCCACTCTATCTCTCTCACGCGCACAGTCTGCATCTCTTACTATCTGACAGTGTTTATCTTTGTATGCCGGCGACGAGATGATAGATACAGAACAGAAAAATCGTCGAACGCGGCGGTTCCAAATCTCTGTACAAGAATAACTAAATGGTTCGCTCGCATTCCACGGTCTCGATTAGTCCACGGTCCTCGAACTTCCGGTCCAAATAGAGGAACGAGGACTGACTCTCGGACCTCTAGCGGCCGCGACGCGAACCACGCAACAATACGAACGAATTTTATGTACAAACTTAAGGACACAAGAGCGAAACTATCACCGACGACACCGTCGTACGTCGGTGTTCCCTTTTTATCATTATTATTATTATTATTATTATTATTATTATTATTATTATTATTACTATTATTCGTTTATCTCTATCTCTTTATATTCGCTTTATTATATTTACCCCTTTTTTCTCTTTTCCTTTTACTTATTCTCGTCGTTTTGCTTCATCCCGATCGTCGTTCTTCGTCTTTGAGGGAACTTAAATCCGTACACATATACACACACACACACACACATGCGCGCGCGCAAGTACACGTACACACACGCATACACACACACACACACACACGCGCATACGCATACAAAACGAAAGATGCGTCATCACCTTGCTAAGGTCTATGTTTTATAGCCTACACGTATGTATACTAACGATGGCGAACTGGGTCTTCAGGAAACAGCGACCGTTCCACGAATTGTTTAATACAGCACCGGTTAGCATCCATCTCTGTTGGTAGAAGCGATCGCGCGAGGGGATATATATTACCCCCCGCGACGATCCGTGTCCCTACGTTTAAAGTATAAGGTATAAACTAATTCTACGTGTAAATATACGATACGATCTTTTCGTAAAAAAGATTTAAAATACTAAAAAAGTGTCGTTTTGGGAAAAGAGTGGGGGCAGGGGAGGAAATTTGTGATGAGATAAAAAATAGAGAAGGTGAAAGGAAATTATCTCGCGCGAAGAGTGGAGGGGGACCGCTAATATATTCCTCGCGTCTACGATTGCGTGTCGTTCCGATCAGAATTTTTATAAAAATACCATACGCTATTATGACGATCCTATGTACACACAGGCGTCCTCGGGCCGGAAGAGAAACGACTCTAATACGTTTAATCGAGCGTTGGAATACGCGTTATTATAGATATATATATAATGGGAGATATTTAGAATAAGATTGGTGGATCGTGTTACTTCAACCCTTTGCGATTCTTTTTCGAACCGATAGATTTTGGATATATTATCCAAATTACTTTTGTTGTTCAAAAAAAAAAGAAAAAAATTGGTATGAATTTTTATAATCCTTGCGCCAATTTTGTATAATTTCATTATAAAATATAATTGTGCTTATTCATTTATTTATACGCGATTAATTAAGAATTAAGTAATTCATAACGACACGAGAGATTAATATTCAAGAGAAAATGATGTAATTAAAAAGAGAGTTATAATTCTTACAACTTAATATATATACAAAATATGTTACTCATAAAAATGTATCTCGATTATAGATAACTTTCAAATGAGGAATTTTATCCTATTATCGCGAAAATACTTTGAAACCTCAAAGGGTTAATCGAACGACACGATCGAATAAAGGAACGAAAAAAAAAAAAGAGAAACGTGTGCCCGCCGACATTCTTCATCTTGTCGAAGCTGCACATTGCTCGAGACGAGACATCCGAGCATCGATCCGCGATGATTTCGAAACTGTCTCGAATTTGTTTAACGATTTGTTGCTCGATCGAGACCCGATTCGATCTGGCAAAAATCGTCGAGCAGGATTACTTTATTCTCTAGGCTCAGAGGTATGTACGAAGATATTTTTTTTTTCCTCTCTATTCTTTCTTCATTCGAATCTTTGGCATCCAAGAAAATACAAAAACTCGTGCAAAAACTCGAGCAAATGTAGAAATCGGATGCTGAATAGATTCGTACGAGAAATTTGTGTATATTTCTTCTATTTGTATTCTAAATGTATAAGAGTATTGTTTTTTTTCTTTTTTTTCTTTTTTTTTTTTTGTATATACGTGTTTGTGTTCTATGTATCTCTGTATAAGTTCGATGAGTGTATAAAGGATTAAGGATGACAGGCCTTAAAGATCTCCATCACGCACCTGCGTAGCACCTTTAGAATTCTCGATGATGATTACGGTAACAGTGGTATATCGTTGGATGATCCGGTAAATGTCTGTAAATTCGAGTTTTATTATAGCGATTCTGGTGAAATTGAATCTTGTCCAAAAGATTAAAGATTAAAGATTAAAAATAATTATTCGTCAAACTAGATAAAATAATCAAATTCTGTTACATATGTTTAACTCTGGCATTCATTCGTTTGATGCACGATAAATATTTCTAATTTTCTAAGTTTTCCTCCCTTTTTTCCATTCTGGAAAAAATTTTGATTATTTACAGATGTTTAGAAGCGAAATTTCGCTATGATGAATGAAACGAAATTAATATCAGTTATCATACATTCATGTCCAATTTTATGAATCAGAATCAAGAAGTTCCCTCTATATTATCCTCTAAAAAAATGATGCATCCAACGATAAAACCAAATTGAACGTTAAAACTTTAAGACATTCCATCAGAATCGCTGAAATATAACTGCAATGCTATAATCTATGGAGCGAGGAACAAAAGCGCATCGATCGATCGACGCATCTATCCTAAAAGAAGAAGAAGAAGAAGAAGAAGAAAATAAAATAAAACAAAATAATAATAATAATAAAAAAAGAATACAGGAAACGCAATCGACGGTTAAAAAAACGAAGTCACGTCGAGTCAAGGCGAAGAAAGGAATCGTGCGGATCCGAAGACAGAGACGGCGGTGCACATCGCGAATTTGTCGATATGAAAAGCTGACAAGCTAATCTGGCAGCAGCCGCTAATAATCTCATGTGTAACTTGCGTGACGTTTTTTTTTTTTTCAAGAAAAGAAAAAAAACGCGTCCCACCCATTCTCTCTCTCTCTCTCTCTCTCTCAACCCTTTCTCTCTTTCTCCATCAATCGAATCGATACAACAACTCGCCATACAAGATCCTGTCAATCTTGACTCGGTTAAAACTACGTCGAAGCTCGAGCTTACGGTACATCTTATCCCTCCTCTCGTCGCCTGTATTTTGTTCCTGCAAGTCAACCAACCGACAAAGCGACCAACCGAACCCGTTCGCTCGCTCGAGAGGGCTCCCTCCACTCGATCTCCTCTCTCTCGTCTCGTCTCGTTCGTATCACAGATCTAAGGAAACAGGAGGATTGATTTCCGGTTTCTAAACGGGTTACTATGCGGACGGACGCCACGATTCGAGCCTTATTTCAACCGAACAGCCTCCCGATCACCACGGCCGATCTCTTAACGATCTCTTCTAATCACTCTCTTCGATCTCCCGATCTCTTGTTCCCTCTTCATCCCAATTCCACACCGTGAGAAACGAAACTTTTAGGAACCGTGTATGTGTGTGTATATATATATATATATATATATTTATATATGTATGTGTGTATATCGGCGAGCACAGTCCACGATTGTTCCTCTTCCGGTCCGAGGCGCGTTTCCATTCCGTCGATTCGCACTTTAAGCGCACTTTTCTCTCGAGACGATCCACGTCCTGGAATCGTATTCTCACTTCCTTTCACCACCGTGTCTTTCTATTTACACACGAGTGAGGAGAAAAATGTTCGTGAAGGAGGGTCCATCCGAAAAAAAAAAGGAAAAAAAAGAAAACAAAAAACGGAAAAACGGATTTTTACCTAGGTGCATGCTCGGCCGTGCATGCGCATGTTACGCGCTAATAACGGCGCGTAATTGTTTAACGGGTTTTCGTTCGATGAACACCGCGCGTTTGGATAAAACAGCCTCGTTTCACCGACAGAATTGAGATTGCAAGTAATCTCGGAGGGTCGAGCATTCTGATCGAGTAATCCGGTTCGATTGGGTTGAAAGGGAGATGAGTGTCCATCGAAAGAAACGTTCCAGGTGAGGGGATGGGAACAGTTGGAACGAGGCTCGTCCAACCGATCGAGGATGGACGTCGCGGTGATCGAGCTGCTCGCGTTTCGGACGTTCGACTGCTTGATTTTCTTTTTTTTCTTTTTTTTTTTTTTGTTCTTCTTTACGACGTTCATTGGGACGAAAAATCGTCAGCGGCAAAAAGTACAAAGGCAGTGGTGTAACCGGTCAGAAGGAGAGTGAGGCTCGCCCAACTGATCGTGGATGGACCGCGATTCCTTGGCAGGACGCTCTTGCGTGGCAGTGTGTCCGGATCTCGGCTCGAAGAGGGCTCCAACAACGATCGGCTCCATCAGACCAAGGGGGTGCCGTACACCTCGTTTGTGTGGAGATTTTGATTGCTGTCGTTTTGCCTCGATGCGCATTGCTGGAACAGAGAAATGGACGGGTTCCTCAAGCAAGCGATCGAGCAGACAGTTTTCCGGTAGAATTTAGAAATGGATGTTTTTTTGATTTAAAGTTTGTTTTTAAAATTTCTCTCTTTTTGGTTAATTATTATAACAATTTAATATAATTTTTAATATAATTTATAAACTGACGAAATATATCGTAAAACGTATTTTTACGATAAGGGAAGGAAATTTATTGGCATTGTTATTGACGATTTGTCACTTTTAATATTTGGGTAATTCGATTTTAATTCGATTGCAAACAAGAGGAATTGTTTTATTGTATCAAAATTTGCATGGCTGTTTGTGTATAAATATTGACTTCCACTTGATTCGTTACAATCACCTGTTGAGCTATAAATATATATGGATATTTGATAAAATTGATAGAGAATATTTCATATAACATTTTGACAATATCGAATGATTAATAAAACCAGCGATACTAATAGCGATTATATCTGTATGAATTTCGTTAAAGGAAAACGTTGCACGTGTTTTTGTACAAACTGAGAAGTATTTATTTTGAAAAATTAATACTATTTCAAAAGAAATTTTTATTTCTTTTAACCATAGCAATGATTAAAAGTTTTTCAATTGCTTATTTTATTTAAAGAATACTTGCGCATACTTAATGCTACTTACTCATGCGTGACTCATACGTTTAATTAATAGAATTGAATAAACTGTATAATAAGCTATTTTGCTTTAGATCTAGAGATTATGCTCCGTGTATGGTGCTTAAGTTCACATTTATGCAAAAAACATGAAAGAAACTCGAGTATTATATCTCTTTTTTTTAAAAAGAGAAAAGATATTCAGAATGGGGGATCTTTGACGGCTTTTATTTTCAATTTATATTTCGTTATATTAATCCTTTTAGATCGTAACCATCTGTAGTAGGGGAAAAGAATTTTTCATGTAGGAAGTAAATATTAGCTTGCTACGAACGCTTTTGTATTTTTATAAACATAAAGAATGAATTCAATTTTGAAAGGTACGTTGCATTCAGAGTCAAATTACGTATTTACCAACGTTTATTTCTTCCTCAAACGAGTTTTCATCTTTTCTCTCGTGATATCTTCTTTATAAGTTTTCCTTCTTTTTTTTTTTTTTTCTATTCTTCGGAATCTTTAATAAAAAAGGAAATCGCAGAAAGAAAATCGAACCGTTGTTTTAAACGCTAACGCGATATTTACTCCAAAGGAATTAATAGATATGGAAAAAGAAAAAAACGAGATTTTATTTTCCATCGAATAAAAACAAATCAATAAACTGAGATTATATTTAATTTAACTGTAAATGATATTAAATGTCTATGAAAATAAAAATGAAATTGATGATTATATTCGACACGTTTTAACGAATCGCGTAAATTTGATTTTCCCAAAGTGCGAATGTTCAAATGTTTATCCCAAAAATAATATCTTCCCTTAAATTAATAAAACAAATTCGAATGGAAAAACCTGTTCGTTTCGTGTCTCGTCAAAAGTTTTCGAAAATGTCAAAATATTTACAAACCGATTCGCCTTTATATATTCTCATATATTTCAAAGAATTCCGAACAAATATCGAACGTGTACTCACCGCTTGCTTCCTCTCCCAGCTTTTCATTGCCGACTTGTACTTCTCGAACTCGTGGCACCAATCCGAGTATATCTTCTGATAGTCGTTAGATTTTGCAGGCGCCGAGCATCTATGCGCGTCCACGGTGATGTTGTAAGAGCAGAGCAGGGAACCGCCTAGCCAACAATCGTATCTTCCGGCGTCTTGTTCGTTCACGCCAACGATCACCAGGCCCTTCTCGGACGTCTCGATGAACTTGTCCCCTCCGGCACCGTACTTGTAAGCTATCTGATACCTGCCTTTCTCCTTGCTGTAGTGGTACCACCTGACTTCCTGATTCGCCAGCACTTCCGGCATCTTCACGAAGCAACCGAGATGCACCGACTGGCCCCAGGTGACTACCAGCTTCCGTTTGCCCACGCTACTGTCGCAAACGTCCGCTGTGCTGTTCGACACGTCTTGAAGGAGTCTGGGAAAAAAAGGATAGAGGCAATATCGTAAGTACGATTCTTCTATTTTTTTCTTGTTTACGATCGATTCATTAATTGTTGTCGATATTGATTGGTAATGATAATTGACGATTATTATGGATACGAATAATTTTATAAAATGTTTGAACATAGTTGATGGTTTCACTTTTTTTTTTTTTTTTTTTAATTTTAAGAAGTTATTGAATTGTTATTTAGAAATGGAAATAATTATATAGATTATTTTAAAAATTCTTTCGTTCATTTTTTATGAAACTTTTATGATTACGTTTTTTCGTTATTTTTAAGGAAAATATATGTTTTATCATTACTGATTGATTTTGATGATTGATTGTACTGCACATATATCGACAAAAATTATTATTATTATGTTATTATTAACTTTAATCCTATTAAATTTGCCCAAAAAGTTCTTAATATCTAAAAATTGAGGGATATTCATTTAAAACGCTAATATAATAATGGAATAAATTGAATCTTTGATTGCAAGCACAGTATTATTGGTGTAAATCTAGGCCATTCGTTGCACTATGCAGTAAATATAATTATAGAAGAGAAGTTTGCCTTTCATATTATATCACGAAGATGAATTGAATTGAATTAAATGTATTACGTATTTAAATGTTCTATAAATAATACATAATATAACTGGATAAATGGAACACGGATATATCCGAAAGAATTTTAAGCAATTTATGAAAATTTGAAGAAGAAGAACAGAAATAGATACCTTGAGTAAATCTCTCGAATTTATTAAATCGGATTAACCCAAGTGGGCCATTCGAGGCATTAAATTTCATCCAATGTGAAATATGAAATATTAAAAAAGAAGATAATATTAAATTTATAAAAGTCTTAATTGTATTAAATTTTATTCATTAATCGTTTTATCTTCTATCATTCAGAATGATATAAATGAAGTAATAATTTCAGGGAGGGGGGGGAGGGGAAATGTAAAAGATTCTTAAGATAATAAACTCAACAAATAAAATTTCGTAATGTTCTTCGTGAGCATTCATGAAGAGCTAAGCCTCTCGTAATTCATACAATTTTCACGTAAAAAACGTGCATTATCATTGAGCATAATACTTTAATTCTAGAAGATTTACGACCTTCTCCAGATTTTCACGTTATAATATTGCACAATTTTCCCCTTATACATCAATTCAATCATTCGATCGTTTATTATTACTGTTGAATCGATCCACTTACCATTTTCAAAAAAAGAATTTAATTTCCAATTTTAATCCAATTTGATTAAATTTTAAAATTAAATTAACCCAATTTACGAGTGATCCAAATTATCTAATTAATGAGTTAATTTTCTAAATCTTTCTCTGAGTTTAAGCTAACGTTGTATGAATCAAATTATCGATGGTTTTAAAACTAAAAGTACCACAACATTTTGAATACCGTATTATAATAACATTTTGAAAAAGAAGAAAAAAGGGAAAAATGAAAATACAACTTACCCGGGCTCGTAAGGTTTACACGTGTTCGTGTCCTTGTCCCATCCGCAGTAAGGATCGTGAACGCAGCGAAGGCAATTGTCGTATCTTCGCGTGCACATCACCAAGTCGATCTGTTTTATTCGATGGTCGGAAGCTACGTAAAGAGCCTTGTGCTCCTTCGAGATTTCCATCGCCTGGATCGGCTCGCCCGGTGTCACGTCAAAAACGTCCAACAGGATAGACTGGGACTCCCCATTATTGTCTATCCATTGGACAACTTTGTGCACGCGTCCATCACCTGTAAACAAAAAGCGCAAAAGCAATGGATTTAATTTAAATCGAGACAATTGATCTGTTATTAGATTCATTCGTGGATAAACATAGCTTGATAGAAAATTGTTCTATCAGTAGAATCAAGAATAATTGGCGGATAACGTAAAACTTTTATTTTTTAAATGGAATTAAATTTGTTATTTTTTTTTTTTTGTTAATTAATTTGTATTTCATTTTATGATATCGTTGATATCTGCATTGTAGAATTAATTTTATGCAAATAGTTTTGGGAATGTGTTTGAAAAAAGTTGGAAGCTGAATAGAGAAGTTTAATGAAGTGATCGTTACGTTGAATTGATTTACATGATTTTTGAGAGGCTCGTATATTAAATGTAAAAAGAAAAAGAAGATATTTTTTTAATGGATTCCATAAAGAATTCATTATTTTAAGCAAGATGAATTTAAAAGGAGATGAAAGTGTTAAAAATTAGTTATAATTCTTATTTTTTCGTAATTAAGTATGCCAACGAAACTTTCTCATTCGGTTATAAAGTTCCATTAAAATTCAATCTTCGTACGAAACGTGTTAAATAGTTTGACGTAACTTTTTCACTCGGAAGTAAAACTAAAAGTACTTTACCTTTTCCCTTAACACTGTACACGTATCAAGGTAATTTATTACAGATTTTTTTTTTTTCTATATCATTGTAGATTTTTCCGTACAAATTCTTGTTAAAGATAATTAAAGTAAAATTAAAACTAAAATGTCATTTCATGTTGGAGAAACATCATCCACATCCAGAAAAGGATAAGATATATTTTTAAGATTGTTATAGTTTATTCACCATTGATTACATCTTTAAATGTTGCGAGATCTTGTGAATGAAAAATCTGAATATCTGAATTTCCTAAGAAAAAAGAGGAAGATTTTTATTTTCAAGGAATAATTATTACTCGTGTTCGATATTTTCGATAAAGAAACCTGAATACAATATAATAAATTTAATTTCAATATTTTTTTCTACGAAGCATTTATAGATTTCTCATCGAATGACATTTTAATCTTATTTTTACCTTTAAAACTCAACTTCGCGAAGTTTTCGAGGGAAAAAGTTGAGATATCCTGCGAGAGCGATTACGCTCACTTCGTACAATTAGAAGATTGTATCTGCTATTGATCGATAATGAAAGTTTCAAAGTGTAGTTAGTCTCAGAGTTGTGACGTGTTTTCGTAACTCATTTCTTGTAGTTCATAGTTGTACAGGGGACTTCTGATTATATTAGTTTTTAGCGGTAATAGACACTCGACGGTTGGCCGGGAGACGAAAGCAGCGATTGCAATAGCAGATTGTACGAGTCAACTGCAAGAACTTTGAAGTTCGCCCGTGATTATCTTGCCAAGTTTCACGACGACAAATCGACTGGCGGAGCGCAAAACGCATTCCAACATTGCTACGCGCCCCGAATTAAATTCTTATCATAATTTCCCGGATTAACGTGCACTTGTGACGTAATATTATCGAGCCGTAGTAAAGAAACAAAAAGTTGTTTTGCTCCAAAGTAAAACGAATCCACAACGATCGACGAATTTTCTTGCGATACGCGAACGAAAAATGTCTTTTCAAAATTATCGAATAATAATAAAATAATAGAGCAACGAATATCGTTCCCTATTATTAATTCAAATTAACAGTTCTTCGAATTCCATTTTTTCCAAATCGAAAAATCATCGCTATTACTTTTCGATTCAACTTACTTGATCCAGCATAGTAGACCGTGTAATCCAAATCGAGGCCGACGAAATCGATACGCAGTTTATCCACGACCAATCGTGTGAGCATCACGTCGCGTTTATAAAAGACGGGTTTTTCATTCTCGTGCGATATCGCCGAATCCATGAGGGGATGGGATCGAATGAAGTTGAGGACCGTGTCCGGGAACGTTTCAGTGTCGTTCACGCATTGGCCGGGCCGCGGTTCAGGAACTTTGTTGGAGAGCACCGGAAGCCAGGCGCTGCTGCTCGTCGCCTGTTCTTTGAATTTTCCACGGAACGCCTCTTGAATCGCGTCGATATGGAACGAGCAGATCGCCGAGCCCATCAATCCGTTCGTCGACGTGGTGAAAGTACCGTAAAAGTGAGTGTCGTCGCCGGGCACCTTGTAAATACTCTCTGAAAATAAACGAACATTGATTGATTTTATAAAGTTTGCCAAAGTTTGAAATCATTTTTACTGGAAGATACTCTTCGCATCGAAATCGATAAGAAATTAGACGAGAGAAGGAAAAATTGATTGGGATCGAAATAAAGATGAAGTGATTCGATTGAAAAATCGAATATTTTTTTTTTTTTAATAAACTTACGTATTTCGTTGAAGTAGAATGGAAATTCGCCGGGTATCGAGCAATTCAGCCTTGCCTTCAGATAAGTCGACCAATTTTGCGAGAGAATATTTTTGCCGCCGGTGTCCCTTTTGCAAACTCTCGCCACGCGGGAATACACACTTTTCCCGCAATTTATGTATTCCACGGCCGTCTCGCGGAAAAAGAAGAATACGTGGCTGCCGATGTCGTAAGATCCCACGAAATTAGGTTCTGAAACAGTCACAAAGAATAAGAGTTATTCGATCAAGGAAACACTGTTATCCGAGAATTCTCGGAGAAAGTTCAACCAACTGATACCAAAGAGACGGCGTTCCAAAACTGAATTGCAATTTCGTCATTATTCTTTTATACGAAAATCTTTATCGTATTTCCATCAATTTTATTTCAATTCTTTGAATTCTTAACTATTTTTTTTTTTTTTTTAGAAAAACGATTCTCGTTTAACGTGTCGTTACACATCGATGAGTATCAGAAGAATATTACAAATGTATCGTGAAAATTTTATTAGACATAATATACATTTATCAATATAATTAATTTAAAAAAAATGTGGACAAGTTGATCGATCAAAAATCATTATTCAATAATACAAAAATTCTTGTTATATTTAATATCTTATATATATCATTTCAAATAAATCAAGATACTTCCTTTAAAAATTATAATAAGCTTCAAGAATCTAATAACTATATCTCTTAAAATATAGAGGAAGAAAATATAAAAGAGAGATACACGTTGCAAACTGTTAATTTATATTAGAATCAAGTGCATAAAATAATGAAATAAAATATATTTATAAGGTGGAAATATTAGGAAATTATGTTTAACGTTCGATAAGTATTCTTTGACAAATCTAATTCGAGTTTGAACATCGGTTTCCGGTCGTGGGGAAATTTATGGAAATATCAAGAGGGGCGTAAAAATGAAACTGAGTTCCGTGTCAGATCCAGAGAAACAGTAATTTCGACAGAGACTACCGCTGTGCTAGGATTCTATCCTTGATGAAATTCCGCGAGAAGATTTTCTTCGAACGATTTCCTCCTTGAACACCAAATTAGGATACAAATATTCAACGATGGTCCATCATCCCTTAGATTTTGCTAACGAATCGGTTTGAAAATAAAGAAAAATGATCAACAAATGTCGATAAGATATCATTTTGAATTATCTATGTAATTTGGATAGAAATATTAATTAGAATTTCGTAATACAGTTTTAATATAGATATTAAAAATGATATAAATTGTGAAATTGATTTGTTTATATCATCATTTTAAATATTTTTCTAATTTTATAATTTGAAAATTTGTTCGATATTCTAAGTATATAATATAAATTATATGGCAAACATTATGAATTTGATGGTAAAATAGATTTAATATGTTTATTAAAAATAATTTAATTTTGTATATAAAAAGATCTAAATAGAATATAAAATTTAAATTCTTTTAAAAATGATTAAATAAAATGAAACTCAAATAGAGATTTGTTGTTTCATCTATCATCATTAGTAGAATATTCAGATATTTTTTTTAATTATTTGACATATTTTAATAATATGTATAAATTCTTTATTTTCTATTTTCTCTTTCACAAATTTGTATAAATGAAGAAACCGTAATTGATTCATATAAGTCGAAAATATGAAACAATTCCAAGGGAGGAAAAAGAAATTGATTCATTATATAATATTTCATATATACATTAACAAGTGACATACCATACGTTTTTTCCGAGAATTTTCATTCAATCTACATGTATCATCGGTGGAACATGCCATCGCTTGTTTTACATCCGCTGGAAATTTCAATAGTTTGAATAGAAATTTCAACATTCGCTGGAAACGGTACACGTTTGTTGAATAAAGTCAATCATCTCGTTTAAACTATTGAATTTTGACTCATGACAGATCGAAAGATATTTTGCAATAAAATAGAAATTGAAAATTTTTAAAATAACAAAATCGAAAAATGTATACGTGTAAAAATAAAATAGAGATGAAACGTAAATTGAAAATTATCATCACCTATTTCAACCGTTGAATTTCAATTTGTCATATTATTTTCTATCGACAGATTAAATGACGTTTCATATGAAATAAAATGAAAATTAAAAATTCTTAACTTTTATGTATACTTTTTGCAAAGTAATGTATAATATATAATATGCTTAAGAGTCAAATATGTTTAGTTTCATATTTTTACACGAGATGGCGCGTCGAGTATCTTATGTCGATGCCCCATGCGAGATCGAGGCGCTCGTTCGAGAAACAAAAGTTTAACCGCCGAAGAAATTGTTACGAAAGGGTTACGATCGTCAAAGCTCTCGAAAAATTCTTCGAAATTCGAGGAACTAGCGGCATAACGAAAAGAAAAACTGTAAAACAGAAGGAAAAAAGTTCGAAGAGGGAACGACTTTTCTACTTTTCATTTAACATCGTGACGAAGCTTCCAAAACTTGAACGCTTTTTTAACGAATATTCATTTGTCATTTTTAAAATTTTTAATCGTAAAATCGCTTAATTTTTAACATTCGCTTGTTACTCGATTATGCTGGTTAATGAAGATTAAAATCTCGAATACAGGAAACAGGATTTCCTTTATGATTTAAAGAAAATGTTGTTAAATCATTTGTATTCTTAAATTTAAATTGTATTATTGATCTGATGAAAAAAGATAAGATTCAAACGTTAAAAAAGCAATATACATCTTAAAAAATTCTTCAACATCAACAATAAACAAACCAAAATCCATTAAATTATAATCATAATTATCTCAAACAAAATATTTTCTCGCTCGTGCGATATTTTTCCCTTCAACCCCTTCAATTAGCATAACACCGATTCCTCTTCCTCCTCCTCCTCCTCCTCCTCCTCTCCACCAAAAAGAACGTCCAACGTGAAATACCTGCCTGTAAATTCCCCGAAAAATATCCGCCCACGCGTCGAATTTTATTCCTCCGATCAATTAGCCATGCATTCGAGTCACGCCTTCCTAATTGCCCCGTTCACGATCCCCACGCCGAGCAAGTAGTTTACCACGGACGTTTTTCGTCTAAAAACAACGATGCTCCCTTGCCGGAAATCGAATTTTTTCTTCCCCTTCCTGCTTAAATCGCGCTCTCCCTCCCCTTCCTTCTCCTCTTCCTTCTCTCTCTCTCTCTCTCGTCGATTTTACATTATGCGACCGTGAGGGGGTGGAGGCCGCAATCTCTTTCACAGTTCACCGATTAAATCGATTGTCTGACGCTTCGCCCGTTCCAAGTTTGATATATCGCGGAGCGGAAGTCGAAAAGAGAGAGAGAGAGAGAGAGAGAGAGAGAAAGGTAGGGTAGAGAACGAAGGGGGAGAAGAGGAACGAAGCGGAGAGAAGGAAAAAGGAAATGTCTGGATTGGAGAGAAACACGAGCGAGTTTTGATTGGACTACTCACCTCGTGGAGAGGCGATACGGCATTGTACGGCGGGAAACGTTCCAGTGGCGTTCTCACTCTCGATTTCGCGCGAGGAATAATGAAATCACCCTTGGGGCCAGTTTCATAAAGTTTACAAGTGGCGGGGCAAATACGAAATTCTATTTTCCGCGGGTCTCTCGCTACCCATTACGGGCGACGTCTCGTTAATAAATATGCCAAATTACCCGCGACCGGTTAATTTTCCAGATTCTCGCCTATCTCTGTCCTATTCCCCGACCTAACCTGACAGAAAATCTATTTTACACGCAGACGTTTATAGGGAAATTCGGCAAGTTTTGGCCGTCCTGCGATTCGTTTTGACAATCCGTGTTTCCAAGTTTTGGGACAAGTTTATGGTAGTTGGACAGGTTTCGACGAAGACAAATGGAAGGGGGAAGGGAGTTTGGTAGGGTTAATTGGACGTGACGTTTCGTCTCGATTTTCTTCCGATGTTGATTGCGTTTGCGTTAATTGAAGAAAGGATTTGAATCTACGTGATTCTTGATAAGAACGACGAGATTTCACTACTACTTTCGTAATTGACGATAAATTTGTCCATGTTAATTTTCTTCGCTTCGTAAAAAATTTGTTTCGTATCCTCTAACTCGCCCTCATAATCCTATTTAACACGCTGCGATTAAGGAAAATATTAAACGCTCGTGAAACGTAGCAGAACGGAAATCCACCTCGTTCGTTTTAAACCGTGCATCTAAAATCCAACAAACCAAACGCGGCTCTCGAACACTTTAAACAACGAATTAAACGACGCCAAACGGTATAAAACCACCGATCGCCGATTAAGCTGAATTTATCGCATAATTTAAAATTACGAATGGAGCCAGCCTACCATTTCCATTTAATTATAAACAATCCTCGTCGTAACGAGGGATCAACAAATCCAACGAACGAGGCTAATCTTCTCGATTACGCATGAACAAACAAGGAAATTCTTCTCAGAAGCGCAGAAGAAAAGGAAACAAACGATCGAAACGAACATCGTCGATCCGCTTATTCGAACCTCGTCCCTTCGATGCCTGTTCTCCACACGGTTTCCTTTCATCACCCCAGCCGCGAATCATCGCATCGATCTTCATTCCGCATACTTCGCCATATACGCATGAAACGAGAGGGCGAGAGAATCGAGAGGGAGGGAAACAGAGAGGAACACGAGGAGCAAGCACGTGAACCTATCCGTCTCTCGGCCCTCTCTCCTGCATTTAATCAACGCCTCTGTTAATAGACAAACTCGATGCGGGGAAATGGCTCTTGATGGCAACGTCCCGCCCCTGAAAGCGGTGGTAAAAGAGCGGGAGGGAGAGGCTGAAAGGGGTGCCTGCTTCAAATTAAACGATGAAACAAACGGCTAATCATGCATCTCGCCAGCTGGGGGGATGCGGAATGAGAAGAGAAGCTCTCCTTCACCTTGTTTCGCTTCTCCTTTCGAGACCTTGGGCGACCTTGGGTGGAGAGAGAGAAGGTCGAATTTTACTTGGTGCCAACCCTTGGCAAGACGGCGCTCTAATGAGAAATATAAGGCAACTAGTCCGAGATGCTATTATTTCCCGGCTCGCCGCGAGAGACAAGATACACGGGGGTTGAAGTTGAAATTAATTGATAAGTTAGCGCGGGGATTTATGATGGCAACCAGCGTGGCAAGGAGCAAAGAGAAATTGTTTCACGACCGAATAATACGTGACTGAATTTGTTCTTAAAGGAACAATTGTTTATTTTCACGGTTGCTTTCACTTTCGAGTGAACGAATGCGAGCAATGAACTCGCGAGAATATTTGAATAGTTGTGTGTCAAACTTACATAACGCGATTTTATAACATTCATGAATATTTGCTCGTGTTTATTAATATTCATTCAAATGTAATGTTAATTTCATTCGGAAATAATTATTTAATTAAAACGAGAATAAAACATTTGTCAAACATTTGAGGTGAACGCGATATTTAAATTTCTTATATTATCAACTGATCAATGAATATCTAAATAATTAAAATCGTGACGATGTCAAGTACAATTGCCTAAGTGTTTTCAAAAAAAATCCCCTTATTATTAATTATTAATAAATTGCTTGTTAATATTTATTTCCTATCTTTGTAATACAGTTTATAGAAACTGAATGAAACGGAAGAAAATTAAATCAATAGTTGAACACACGTAGTGAATCAAGAGGTTAACAGGACAGCTTAAAACCAGCAATAACCCGTGGAGGATTATCCGAATCGAGGCGAGGTATCATACCTTTGCACCAAGCAAAACAGGCCCAGCTTCGTTAAATATATAACATCGTCATCGCACACTTTCGGTGTTCCCCGAACATTACAGAAACGTAATTCACAACGAAACGAGGCAAACAAACGTAATCCAAACAAATCAAAGCTGTTCAGACGCGTTTGAATCTGATTACCGCATTCCACGATCCGATACACGGAACACGTTCTAATCTACATTTTCCAATTTCCCCCGCCCGCTTTCGAATTCCAGCCGGCGTTTCGTTCGGCAACGAAAAAATCCAACGAATCGCAATAATCCGCCCTCACCCTTCCCGATCCAACGACCTGGCTAAAACTGATTAAAGATCGGAATACACAGGGATACCGCCGCGTGGAGGGGCGTTCCATCCAGTGCTCCTCTCCCTCCTCCACAGAGCTAAAAGACAGCCACGAACGAGAATTCAGTCGGAGGAAGGAGTGTTATTTTATCGCTATCTCGATTCTTAGAACCACCGACACTCACCCACACCCACAACCGATCGTGTTACCCCGTTTTCTGTTATCCTTTATCCCGTATATCCGCGTCCTCTTTATCGCGTGAACGTCTCTGAAAAGAACGTCAGACCGTTTCCGGAGAGACACGCCGGTCTGGCTTTTTTTACGCAACTATTTAACCGAGATACACGTGTATTACACGCGTTTCTTGCAACGTTCTTGAGTCTCAAAGAGTCGTCTCCTTGTAACGAAGGTACTCTTTTTTTCTCTCTCTTTCTTTCCTTTTTTACCTCCCCGTATTTCCAACACGAGAGATCCGCATTCAGAAAATTTAATGAAAGTTTCTTTGTCGATGTACGGGGCGAGCTGTAACAAGCGGCTTTAAACGGTGAACGCTGACTTCTTTGCCGTCTGACGAGTCACACGATCGATGAATATTCAACACGAGTGTGGAAGAATCGGTGGTGTGTTTTCAATTTTACCGTTTTGTGCCGGCCGATGGAATTGCGTTTAAAGAGGTAAGATCGGTGGAGATAAGAATTTTAAATGGGAATTTATAGATGACCGGAAATGCAACTGATTTATTTACGGCTCGGATTCAAGAAGAATCGTACTGCTAATGGCGAAGATCGCGATAAATATTCAATTTCGATTCTTCTTGTTCTTCGTTAAAAAGAAAAAAAAAAAAACGTTCTTACTTTACGATTAAAAGATAAAATTGAAATAGATCGAATAGAAATTAATTCGTAATAACAAACGAAAGAAAGAACGAAGGGAAAGGTGTTGAAAATATTCGATACAATATTTTTATCCGTTGCTTTACAACAACGTGTTATAACGATATCTTAAAAATTAATAAATAATAATAATAACTTACTTGCTTGTTGCGCAAGTAACAATTTTTCGAGGCAGATATAAAAGTTGCTCTCTCAAGTTGCGATATTTCAAGATCAGAGTCTCGAAGCACAGAAATGCGAGAACCACCGCCACTAGCTAAAAATGACTCCGCCAACTTTTCTCAATAACATTTTCCCCTAACCCTCTACTCTAAAGAAAATCTTGTTCTTCTTCAACTTCACAACGTTGCTCGCGAAAATACCAATACCTTCAAATATTGTAGCCGGATGAAAAACACGGTGAAATTTAAAGCGTTATTACAACGATTCCATCTAGTTAGGTCGGTATAAAAGTTCCAGCGGGCGAGGCACTAATTCTCCGCGGATATTGCCTCGTTCTCGGACTTAAAAGTAGAAAGAAGAAAGGGAAAGAAATTGCCGTGCACTTACTGTCCAGCCATTTCGAGTCGTACTTCAACGTCCTCTTGAAGCTGAACGCCTTCCGACCGGTCGTTAAATTGTACAGATCCGTGCGGAAGATTACGGTATCGGCTTTCGTGAATTCGGCGTTGGTTCCGGAATAAAGAGCTGGCAGGTCCCCAGGATTCCCCTTCTCCACCCACACGGCCGTCGAATTGTCCGCAGGATCGTAAGGACACTTGGCTATGCCCATTCCCACGCCTGGGACGAACTCGTGGCGAGGTAAATGGGTCAGATTGCTCTGTAACCGATATCCAGTGTTCGATAAACGAAACGTGAACGATCACGGTTCGGTTATTTTTATTCGCGTTCCGTGTCGATTGGGATTTTTTAAAGTGTTCGGTGGAATCCGTGAAATGGTAATAATAATAATAACGTGTCGACGATCGAGGGTTGAACATATATTTTATTTTCTTTCGTTTTGTCTCTTGCTCGGATATTATTGTTCGTTAATTCGTATTGTTGGATCGTTACTGGTATTGAATATATTTTTTTACACATTTCGTATAATTTTCTATTTTATCTTATTAAAATGTTTTCAAGTTGGCAAAAATTGTCAATGAATATATTGGATAAAATATATGAATTAAAATTTAATTTCTTGAAATTAAATGAAACGCAAATTTAATTCGGACTATCGTGATCTCTTATCACTGAATAATAAGTGAATACGAATTAAATTATAAATTACGTTGAAAAATAAATATAATTATATAATTTGGAATAATTGCGGAAAATGTAATTAAAGTATGCATTAATTTTGTCATACGCGATGAAAATTATTGTAATAAAATAAAATTCTAAAGTTAAAAAATTTAACATGCTTGTAAAAGGGACACGTTGCTTGCACATGCATGGCGGAAAATTTGAGGTTAGAGTAGCACGTTTCTACGCAAAAGCTACACATTGCCGAAACTCTATTACACGCACGGGAGTCGTAATCTTCGACAAAGCGAGACCAATATATTCTTTGACTTCATTACACGGGTACTTGAACGCACGATTCATTTACCTTGTTGTTGTGTAACTGCACCACCGGTGAAATTGTGTTAGTGACAGATTCCACGAGAGGAATTGATACCTAAATTGCACCAGAGATTAGAGACAAAATTAAATGTTATTATCTACTTTGTACAATTTCGTCTTTCGACTTCTTCAAATTTATAAATTTATCTCTTCTTGTATACGAATTTTTAAAAATATATAGTATATTTCAATCTCGTGTATCTGTCACGTAAAGTTTCTCATTTTTCTAAATACAAGCTCGAAATATTTCATACACAAAACACCGATTTTAATTAATCAAACGAATCGATCCTTTAAAAAAGAATTAAATTATTTTCTCGAGCCTTTCGAAATTCGAATTTAAAACAACTCGAAGAAAACGTTGCGAAAAATTTTACGGAGGGGAGAGCCGTGCATTATTCGAAAGCTCTTATACAAAGATTGGACGATCTCCCTGCCAAAGTTTCGTTCGTATGTTTACCGAACGGCATACGGCATTCGAAACACTAAAAAATCCCTCGACACGGAAACCGGTGAGGCTCGGTTCGTGAAACAAACGGGGGAAATGAAGAACAAACACACGGATACTTACATAAATCACCCAATCCTTGGGCGAGTGGGCGTTCGTGCCGCACATGTACAGCCGATTTCCATCCCCCATTGGCTGGATCACCCTTATGTGATTCCGGCAGTCGAAGTGCTGCGAAAAGAAGGGGAAGAAAATTGAATTTTCCACGGATACGTGCGAAGAAACGCGTGGCCGCGGCAGGGAAAAGGGCAAGTGTTGGATGCGTGGACACGGATTTTTCAGAAAATTATATAGAGCGGGATCGCGAGGCAAAGGGTTCCACCGTGCTCGATCACGTCGCCTCGCGTATTTCGCTGCGAATTGGCGGGCGGGAAATAAATTGGTTTTGTCGTCACGTAGAGAGTATTTGCGTGGACCTTACACCTCGCCGATGCGTGCGCGATGAATACCGAATGAAGCCGCGATAAGCGGCGGCGAATTGTCCGCCTTAAAATGCGATCGTTACGTCTGCAAGATGAAGCGACGAAAATGGGAAAGAATATTCTCCAATTATCGTTTCACGAATTATATTTTATGAATTTTTGCGATAATTCGTTTAAGTTATTATTTTAGAAAGAGAGGAAAGGAGCGTGATAACTCTTTAGAATTGTTATCCTTTATCTAATTATCTTATCATGCGAAGACGATTGTTTTAAATAGGACAAAGTGTATACAAGTCAAGAAAATTACGAAGGATCGACACATGCAAGACTTTGTCTGTGAAACGAGGAGCGTGAAAAAAAAAATATTTCTCTCGATGGTTTCTAACAGATGTCGCCACTGTTAACGAATGACGATGAATTTCGCCCAATTTACCTTTCCAACTTTCTCGCGCATCACGAATTGTATAAAATAACGATGGCTCGGGCGCGTAAATATCGCGGGAAAAATCGCCAATTAGCGGGAGTGGGTGTTTCGCGCCCCCTCCGCTTGAAAATTATCGCTATATATGGAAACATTATCACCGCCAAATTGGAAACGTCATCAGACGAACGAATCCGTTCTCAATTAAGGGAACGTCAACGCGGCCCGATCGATACTCCATAAAACGAATTCGTCTCGCGCGTGGAAACATTTTGATCCAAACTTGTTTTCCATTATTATTCCGTTATGGTAAAAGTTGGGCAACGCGTCGTTGACAGGTTTTAACGAATCTGTTCGATATCAAATTTCGTTTAGATTACGATTCCATGGAATTGAAAGGCGCGACCCATTAAACGGAGGATTTCTATCCTTTTTCGTTCCTCCTCGCCTTTTATTTAACCGCGATCCATTATTTTTACGAATAAAAAAGAATAAGAACGAGGGAGGCGATGCGTTGTAAGGCTTTAAAAAACGAACTCGACTAACTTCGCTCGCAAAAGAACGGATAAAGGAACGCTTTGGCGCGCGAGACCATTCTTTTATTCCTGATTCTTCTCCCTCTTAATTGTACTCCACGGATCGGATACTATGGATACTTTTATATCCATATCTTTGATTACAAGAGAAATGGCAGTTTCGATCGAGTTTGGAGGAAATGTATTCCTTTTTTCCCTTGTCGAACAAATCTAAGGAAATCGTAATTTGTTTCTCTCTTTTCCGCATCGAGGCCGTTTCATCGTAACGAAATTTCATTCTTTCTCCCTGTATGACGTCCCTATACTTGAGGTAATTACCATCTCCGCAGTTCCATTTTAAGTGACGCTTTAATTAGATTGCGCCGTTATTAAAATTCCGTTGAAAAGCGGCGCGAACCCGGCCCGGTAAATGCGATAATGAAATAAAGAAGTAATTCACCTCTGATTTCCCTTTGGACACACAATTTGCCACGTTGCTCGGCTCCAGATGAAGCGCATCCCTCTGCAAAAGAAAAGAAAAGGATTATTTCTTGCGATGCGTCTCAACGTGCCAAGTATTATAGACAAATTAACAAATTTGCGTGATTGCGTGATGTGAATTATAAAGTTATTTATTTATTTTTTTTTTTTTACTTAGAAATGTTTCATCACATGATGAAATTAAGGAACTTGTCTTGTATGCTTTAATTTACTCATTCGAGGCGTTAAAATTGTTGGACAAAAATATTTTTTAAAATATTCAGACCAACAGTTAAACATTTAATTTGAATGGAATGATTAAAATTCCACGATGCGGCCGAAAATGAGACACGATCATTAAGAGACACAAACGACTCTCATCAAGTGTGATCAACAACGAATTTCATTCTCGAACAAAGGAACAGGTGAAACAACTTTTTCCAAGCTTATTTTGAACGATGAAGCTTCAAAAGTTATCTAAACTTGATCTAAATTCAACGACGATATATTTCATTTCTATAAAAAAAAAATAACGAGTGAAAACGAAATACAACAAAGTCATTTATCAAACGATGATAAATTTTTCTTATCTACACTACGACAAAACATCCGACAAATTTAAAATCCCAAAGATGATGAATAAGAGATTCACCGGTCAGAATATATAGGTAAAATTAATCCTTCCAGCTTCCACACGGTCGCTGAATGACTCGTCATCGTCGCGAGAGAATTCTATTTCGAAGATGGCCGCCATAATTACGAGTCATTCTGGACTGGGGCTCGAGATCTCTTTGGGTGGAGGCTCGAGTTCGTTCGTTTCACGTTCATTCGCCCTCAGCCGTCGTCTCTCCTACTTTCCATACCTTTTCCTCACCTACGACGTTCTTGGTGCCGACCTTACACAACGTGGAGAGGCGTTACGAGTGCATGCTCGACGTTTCGCGAGCGTGAAGAAGAGGCTGCACACTCGTGTCATTGTGCGGATCGCGACGCCATGGCAGACGAACGCCTCGAGCTTTTCCAAAGCTCAACCCTTGCGAATGTGTCGGCCGGAATGAGGTCAACAGACGGAATTGAAAAAAATGGGGAGTATCAAGTTTCGTGTCTTCACTTTCGAGAAGAGAGTGGCGCTCTTTGATGGCTCGGCCGATGGATTCGAACGTGGCAAGTTTCATCCTCCGTTTCTGAATCGGTGAAATCTTCGAACAGTGATTCTGATTCGTCGACCCAGTTTTGCAGTAAGTGATTTTTAGAGAGGAAAAAGTAAAAGGATTATCAGTTATGGTCGAGATTTTGATAGTGAGTGAGTTTGAATAAAATTCATTTCTTGAAAAATAGTGGGATAAAGTGTTTATTTATAATTAATTTTTAACGTTGCGGTTCTAATGAAAAGAACTTATCGACAATTTGAAGAAAATTGAAAACTAATTATCGGTTTCATTCCGATGTTGAAAAAAGAAAAAGAAAGTCAGTAATTAAAATTTTTGTTAATGAGAAAGAATACAACGTATAATTTAATGATTTATATTTATTTTATTAACCTCGATTAAAAATGTTTTCTGCGTTGAGTAAGAGATCGAATCTGCATCATTATATACATAAATTGTATTTCCTTTTATCCGCAATTATAAATTGTATTCATTTTATTTTTTTGTTATATTGCGATCAAAAAATATTAAGTATGTCAATATGAAATGATGATTCTCAATCACTGAACAAATAGTTTAAGTATAATTTAATAAATGACATTTTCGTTTCTCTAATTCATTTTATCGTAAGAATGGTAGCAACATATAGAATAAAAAGTTAATATAACAGTTATATGTGAAAACGAATAGATTTGTTGCACGAAACAAATGAAATTCATACCTTGAATAATTATGGATTAATCAAATTTATCTCCACCATAACCGAAATTCCAACTTATTAAATTTTAAAATTAAATTTCGAAATTAAGTGTTGAAATTGAAAAATTATTAACACATTCCTCCGTTTGCACGATTTATTAGCTAATGATGCGTTTCCACCGAGATTTCAATTCTCACAAATTAATAATATTTGCTCGAGATATATAATATCTAATAATAATTAAATTAGGCAAGATGATCCAGACACTTGGTAATTAGAGTAATTAGAGTATATACGAAGATATGGAAGAGACCTTTAAGAACATCGTATTATCTTTGAAAGGTTGAGATTTTAGATGTCTATGTGTACATTGGAAAGACTAAGTACTGTCTGCGAATTTCTATGTGTGCGCATGTCGGTGACGATGAGTCTTCTTCAAGACGAAAAGTACATAGTCTAGCGAGTTTAGAAAGAGCAAGTTTTAGCAAAGATCTTTTTCAAATTATTCTTACTCGCATGTTACTCGTCCACCAATTCCCCTCTTTGAGGCATGGACGAATCTTATTTCTATATTTTAATCATAGCCACATAACGTGATCAAATAATCGTAAATGTATTACGATTTTATTTATAATTTGACAAGTGCAATCAAGTAAAAGATAAACTAAATGGCTAGGAAAAAAAAAAAAGAAAAAAGAAACACGCATTATTTTCTCTCTCGATCATCAAGCTTCTTATCTTCTAACCCCGTGACAAATCGCAATTGTCAAACAGAGAGAGAAGAAAAACGGATAAACCGCCGTAGATCCCTCGGCCATAGATTTCGACGCCTTGGAGGAATACAACCCCTATTGAGCTGAAGCTGGTTCGTGCGCCAGAGGTCGTAGACACGATCCGGAAAAGGAAGTGGTTCGTTTGCACGGTCAATCGTCCGAAACGCGTTGCCCTTAACGATCGATCTCCTGCGGACGTCGCGTGCCGCTCCCCCCTCCGGTGTCACGGCCAGAAACCGCGTCGATCCTCGAAATTGTCCTGGCCCGGGGAGCCAGGGAGGGGAGAAGCCGAAACACCGTCCGGCTGACAGTGATCTACGGCTAATAAATTAACGAAAGAATTGTTTTTGCTCGCGCACGCGACCGTGCCGTGATATTTATTCGGACGATGCGGAGGACAGTAACGCGCTCTCGAAAATCGGGGAAATTATACGGTACGCCTGATTTTTAAAATACGGATGATCAATTTTTTTTTTTTTCCTTCGATATTTTGCATCGATCGTTCCTTTGGTAAATCAACTTTGATAGATATAATATTAAATATCACGAGAGAAGAGAGGGAAAAATACAACGTCATTTTCAGTCACTGAATAATTCGTAAAAAAAAGGGAAAAAATTCTCTTCAATTATTATTAGTTCAAACATCATCCTCGAATAATAACACGAGCGTAACTTATATTAAAGGAAAGAGACTAAACGGTAGAATGTGGCGCATTGAAAGAAGCTCAACGTGAAAAAAGAAAATTATTTCGGGCAGAAAAATTACACTTCGTTGGCCAAGTATACGAAGTATAAATTGCGTTTTTGCGAGTTCACATACGTTAGAGACAATATATGGTATTTGATCTCGCGATAGGTTTTCGGCGAGCGTGGAAAATTATTTGTTCGGGGCGAAGGTAGAATGAATCGCCTCGAACCGAATCGAATGGTCTGGCTCGCGGCAATGGCCGCGTAAAATGGAATTCCTGCGAGGAATTCTATTCTACGAGCTTTTGGCCCCTCGAACTTTGCGGATCCCGCGAGCAGGGCAGCGCGAATCTCGATTTACGCGTCTCGATTCTCGAACCTCTCGATATTCACAGCAAGCGAAGGCGGGAACACGCCTGGGGAAAATTTTCGAGCAAAGGCCAACTCGATGCTCTTCCAACTAGAGTGGAAGAGGAAAATAATCTCAAATTTATCTCGTTCGATTCATCGTGTAATTTTGCCATTGATGAATTTGAGATTTCGTTTGAGATCTTCTTTAAAATATTCTTTATATACTTTTTAAATTTTCTTCCTCTTTTTCTTTTCTTTTCTTTTTTTCTTTTTTTAATTTTTTAATTCTCTTTTAATATCCTTTGATCTTTGAGCTTAGCTTTTTTAATAAGGGGATAATGGGTGAAAGTGTAATAGGTGAATATAACCATTAACTGCTACGTTAGCTTTATTATTGAACTTTCCGCGAATGAAACGAGGTCGATTCAGGGTAGTTGAAAAAGCAAATTTACTTTTGATTTATGGGTGAGCTTTTTATATTCATGGCGTAATTTGGCGATTATTAGGTTCGCGAAAATGAGGTGAATTAAATATTTTTTAGCTTCCTATTTTTATTAAGATCTTCGAATTTTTTACACGCCCTTTGCGCGTGGAATTTTCCCTTCAATATTAAAGAAATATTATTTCTCGCGTAACTGAATTCGAGCCGTGAAAAAAATAAGTTTCCTCTAGAGTGAAAATAGAACTTTATAATAGATAATTAATACTCTCTCCGTTTTCCTTGACCCGCGACTGTTAAACGTACAATTCCTAAATATACCGCGAACATGCAATGCTTTCTGTCATATTTCTATTACTACTAGAATGGAATACATTAATCGAAACAGAGAACTTTTACCGTATAATTTTTATTTCCATGTCTGATAAAAAAAGACCTCCCTCTTTCCACTTAATTGTAAAGATATTATCGCAGCGTCTTGTAATAATTGTTTCGAAAACAGGTTACAAAAGTAGTTCAAACTGTATCGTGTGAAAAAAATAATTAACAAATATGCGAGCAAAAGAGCGATACTTCTGCAAAAATAATATAAAACTTTTATAAAAAAAATTAGCTTCCTCGATCAATCGTCGATCAATAAATTATCAAATGCAATCAGAAACCGCAAAATGGGTTAAACTAATATCAAACGCGTGTATTACGTATCATAAAGGGGAGCAATTCCTATCAACAATACCAATCCAGCATATTCGTACAATCACGAGAACGTTCGATCGCAGCCGAACATCCACGGCATCGAGTAATCACACGCGTACGTCCACAAACACGTTTGTCCGCAAATATTCGCACGCGTCTCTGTAACATATACACGTGCTATCCTCGCGCGTATGCGTGCGAATATATAATCGTGCACAAATACGAGCGTGCCATTATGCTAGGGATCAC